TAGCTGCTGCTGTCTAAGTGCAGCTTATTCTTGGCACGCGAGATGACCTGAAATGGCGCTTATCGATCGCAATTCCCTCGTTTGTGACTTTAATTCGCTATTCTGATTGTGATACGCTTTTCTGATGGAGACGCTCCCTCTCTCGTCCTCCTGATCTGGCAACAGCAAATTCGCAACGACAAACTATCCGGTTTGCAAAAGAAGTCATGGAGTCAGGACCTTCAAATCGTGAATCCGAAACTCAAACTCAAGTCTCGAAGCAGTGACTCAGTCTGGCTCGCCATCAGCCCTTGCGTGGGCACATATCCATCAGCACACCTCAGTCGTCCTAGCTCGCACGCGTGAATCACAACTGACGCCCACAGCTGTAGCCGCTCGCTGCCAGCGTCTCTGCGATCATCATGTCTCAGCGAAATTCGCTCGAAGTGCCAGGTCAGCAGCATGGACACGCCATTGCTGCTCAGCATCAGAGTGGATCCTCATCGCCACTTTTCGGCACCAGTCCGACGCAGAGCTCAGGGCATTTGCACAACCATCATCACCAACCTCGGCATCACACCGCATCTCCCGTCCATTCCATCCTACGATGTCCTCGAGGTTCAGGTCCACATCCTTCCTCTCGAGCCCCTTCCCCCACGCGCGCGACTATGATTGAAGGTGGTGGTACCAGCAGCGCTGCAAACAGCAGCTCTTCAAGTTCTCCTACACCCACACCTAGCAATGCCACCTTTTCGGGCACATCATCTCCAAACGATAGCAAATCTTTTTCCCCAAATCGTTCGCCTCGCACGTCCGATGGTCCTCTGCCAAACATTAGCCCAAGCACTTCGCCCGCCCCGCACGCAGAGCAGTCCGTCTCCTTTGTGCCATCGCAGATAGCCGGCTCTAGTGGGGTCACATCGACTGCTCCTTCTGTATCTTCTCCCCTCGCACCGCACCCTTCTTCCAACGCCTCGACAGCATCCTCACCGAGCGCCGTCAAGACTTCTCATAGGCCTTCCAGCAGCAGCGGTGGTAGCGGAGGTGCGATCAGCTTCGAAGCTAGAGGACGTTCGGCTGCGACAACGGGGATCAAGTTGCCCCCCAGAGCTCAGAGCGCTTCGCTGGGCGGCCTGAGCGAAAAGGGCGGAGCTTGGGAACGTAAGGTTGGGTTTGATTGCACGGAAGAGAACATCACTGGAGAATTCAGCTTCACATTACAGGTGGGTAGACTTTTGAGACGCGCGCCTTCGTCTGAGGAGACGCCGCTTTCAGGGTGTGGACCTTGTCGTGCTGCCGTGCTGGTTCTGCGATGATCTGACATCCCTTACGTTGCACAGGTCAAGTCCAGAGGGTACAAGCGGACAAAGAACACGCGGACATTCATGTGCGCCATAGATGAGAACGCGTATAGGTGAGCCGCCCCAAGCACTCTGAAAGCGTCCGCGTATCGCTTCATCTGTAACTGACTTGACTCTCGTGTGCGGGCATAGTGAGCGTGCGCTCGAATGGCTCATGGAGTCCTTGGTAGAGGATGGAGATGAGATAGTCGCCCTCAGGGTGTTGGAAGGGGAGCCATGGGGTGCGTATTGCATTCGAAGCAGACATTTGGTCCTGGGCTAACACGATCACATGTGTACCGCATCGCTTAGACATCGACCAAGACGAAGCCAGAGAAGAAGCTCGCGATCTCATCGACTCAATCGTAGACCTCAACGATGACGTTGAAGAGCGCAAGGTGAGGGCAGCGCATCGTCATGGATTCCTGCATACCGTGCGTCTTCTCAACCCCCGACTTCTCAACGCTTTCCCAGATATCCATCGTGGTCGAGTTCGTCGCTGGCATGAGCGTCACCTCGACGGTTGTGCGCATGATTCATGTGTACCGACCAGACAGCTTGACAATTGGCACGCGAGGCAAGACGATGAATACGCTGCAAAAGATGCTGGCAGGAGCGACAATGGGCAGCGCTTCAAGGTACGTTCGTAGCGTTCATGAAATGCAGGGGTTCCTTGATGACAAATGCCGCGGCACAAAAGACTAAGTATTTGCCTTGATTTCTTGTACTCAAGAGAATTGCTTTCGAGATCGCCTGTGCCTGTTGTCGTCGTCAGGCCAGAGGCAAAGGTCACCAAACATCGCAAGAAACGAGAAGCAGACCCGAAGAGGCGGTCTTACCATGATCTAGGTGAGTGTCGTCTACGAGCAGTGCTCGAGCCTGTCGAAAAGACATTGGCGATTCTGACATGATCGACTTTGCAGTGGCCAAAGCAAAAGCAGAGTCCTTGCCATTAAGCAGAGATGGCTCAAGGGATCATCACATTTTGGGCCATCGTCACTTCTCCAAGGGAGACTCGGGCGAGAGCGGCGCCAAGCCGAAGTGAAGTGCCATGTGTATGAGATAGCTATCGACATGTGATAATTGTTGCTTGCTGTCATGAGTGATATACATGTGTTGCGCGGCCGAGTGGAGCTTTCTAACGTCGAGGCTAGTCGAGGTCAACAAAGATTCCGTTTTGTGCGTCCGCGCCGCGCCGCTTGCGGGCTGCCGAAGCACCCTTTAGGGGCTTGATGACTTCTTTGTTGGCAGCGCTCATAGCTAGCCGGATCATTTCCCTGTCTTCTGAGCGCTCGGCATTAGCGCTGCTGATCAAGCTCCTTGCAGTAGCAAAGGCCCAAGCTGGACAGACGGGACGGTGTCGGGTGCCATAGCGGCCCCTCCTACCAAGGGTATCGTACCTGGAAGGATCGATTTGGCTTTGTGTGATCTGCAGGCTATGATTGCTCGGATCCAATAGTCGTCGGGCAAGCTGCACCTGCGTTACGAGAACGAGTCGGAGGCAATGCTCTAGCATCCGAAGCGGAGAGCTGTCGTGTCCCAGGAAGCTGTAGGGCACGGTGAACCCCAGCGTTTCCCCTTCCGTCTGAGAATCTTTTGCTGAAAAGAAGATGCGATAAATCTCCTTGAGAGCTGGAAGACCTGCCTCTTTCTCTGCGATCTTGAGGATGGTCCGTTGAAGCTCAAAGCTCGTAGCCCTATTACAGATGCGATGGGAACGTAAAGCGATGATGGCCGCTGGGGTGTCCTTGGCGATCAGACACGACCGCACGATGCTTTCCAAATTTTGCGTCGTCATCCAAGCCGACGCCTTCGAAGGAGCTCCTTGGGTCTGGCGATGATGCGCTAGAAGCATATATGCCAACAAATCGCGTGGTGATTGCATAATATCAACGATCAGCTTTGCAGACTCCGCCAGAGCTTGATCTTGTAGCACTTCCTTGCTCAGCGCTACATCGCCACCTCTAGGAAAGATGTTGTGGTCTTGCAGTCGACACAGCGGGCCAAACCATTCCGCCAAGATGGGTCCGTTCGAAGTCTTCTCCCTGTGTGTAGCGGTGTCCACTGCGATTTGTGATACCAGCATACCCAGTCTTTCCGAACGAGGGTACGCGATGGCCATGAACTGTATGAGGAAGCGTGCGGTGCGAGGAGAGAATCGCACGCCGTCCAGTCTGGCGTGTTGCAGGACCTGCTTCACCGCTTCGACTCGTGCTCGTTTCAATGGTGCGGCGACTTTGATCCAATCGTAGTCCACTTCCGACGCATCGTGATTTCCCCGTCGAGTCATGCGGCCACAACAAGCCTTGGCAAAGGCTTCGTAAGGCAGAGCTTGTTGACGGATTGTGACTGGGGCTTCTCCAGCGATGCCTTTCCGAGCCTGTATCTCGCCTCTTGAGCATTGGTCGGTTTGCAGCTTTGCCTGTTGTAGAAAGACGCGGTAGCGATGGAGCCAGATGGAGGCTCCTCGAAAGTCTCCGGCCGATGTTCGTCCATCAATGAGCGCTGCCCATATGCCCCCTTGGTGAGCCCAGGCGACATTCGGTACTGACGAAGGCTCGGTGAATTTCCTGTATCGTGTCTGCACAAGAGGCAATGTCAAAGGCGCGAGGTCGGCAGTGTTTCGCTTCGGCTGTTCGAGAGGAAGCGAGCTCGATGGTCGTGCCGCAGCCCACCAAAGCAGGAACTCTTCGCCTCTCTCGAACTGAGCTGACCTTGCCAGCGCCTCTAGCAAAGGCAGAACTATCTGCACAGGTATGGCGAGAGGATTGAGGTCTGCACTTGCTTCGAACTCGAAATTCGGTGAACAAACGTCGTAAGTCGTTGCGCCAGCGCCAGCAACGTGATTGAAAGTTGCATTGATGAGCTCTGCACGATTCTTTGGTCGATTCCGATACGCTCGAAGGACCGCCATTACCATGCGCGATGTCGTAGGTAGCCCGACGCTGATGGCCGCGTGGAACAGCCATCGCAGAGCGACCAGCGTCTGTGTGTGGGGCTCTATGCTAATGCCTCGTGTCGAGCCGGGAGGCATCCATAGCGTTTTGCTCACCACGCGACCCGCTGAGACAGGTTCTGGAAATCCGCGAGCTGACTCGGAGTGCCTGACCTCATGCAACATGTTGATGAGAAGTGCCTCCACCTCCCGCGCCTCTAATGTCATCTTTGAGACCTCCGCAAACTGTAGCGAGTGGCGGTGTTGGAACAGTGAGTTGAGCAAAACCATCCTCGCCGTATCGGGATGCCCTTCCCAAATCAGCTTCGAAAGTGTTTGCCATAGCGTTGATGGTCCACTAGATTTCGGCCCCATGCGTTTGAGTGCCGTTGTGTCGCGTGCAGTGCAATCCTCGAGTTCTGTGCCCTCGCAAGCATCGGTCTGCTGTGCAGGGGTCTTGCGCTGTGCTGCGCCAGGGAAAGCATTTGTCGAGTCTTCGAGCTGCTCTTGTGCTACTCCTTGCGAGTTTACAGAAGATTCTGCCTCAAGTCTCTCGCGGCTTAGCAGAGAAAGAAGTGCTAAAGGCGCCCTCGTGCCCTTTCTGACACTGGGCCCGGGCGGTCTTGTCGGCAAAGCTTCTGCGGTCGACAGTCCATCATCGTTGGCACCCTTGACCTGCGAGAGAAGATAAGCGTAGAGGGTATGCTTCTTTGCTGACGTTCTTGGAGGCTTCTTAGAATGCGCTTTTCGGACTAGGAGTGGCGCACGCACGTGCTTGGCTATCGGTCTTGTGGACGTGCAACGCACAGATTGCACAGCATCGGCGAAGGCTGCGTAAGTATGCCAGGCATGTCGCACGGATGTCATGCTCCAGGCAACGCTGGCCGGGACGCGGTCATGATGATCCTTCGGTTGACGAGCACTTGCGATTGAACCGATGTTCGGCGTGGTTGTGCGTAGCTGATTCCTGTGGAGATTGAATGAAATTTCATTCTGATTAAATCAATGCAGGACGCAGAATCATCATTATTGTGATACTTCTGTATCGTACGAGACGAGAGACAATTTTGAACATAATCCGAGTTAAAATCGCTGTGGGTCGAACACCCTTGGATCGGGCCATCCGCGCCCGGTAGCGTGGTGTGGGCCTTGGCTGTACGAGCCACAATCTTTAATCTGTATCATATGATCAAACGGCATCGATGTCTAAGTCTTATTTGATCTGTGGATCGTCTTTTTGATTAGAGCACGGGAAGGGCCTGGACAACTTTGGATGACAATCTTGAATCATTTGAATAATGTACGGGACAGCGTTCGCGATGAGGCGCGTCTAAGGCGCGTGTTTGCATGGTGGCTGTCTCAGCTAAATCCTAGACGCCGGCAAGTCTTGGTCGAGCTTCGAGTCCCGAGTGCCACAGTACATATGTATACATCCGTGGGCGTGAACGAGGCGGTGAACGCCGTGCCCGAATCACAATGATGCTGGATGTGCTTAGGCGGTTCACATACTGTTGTATGTGTGTATAGCGGTCGAAATCACGTCTGCGACCAGTCACTCCGACTGGGCAGCATCGGCGTGGATCACAGCTCATCGAAAGGACGTGACAGCTAGCAGTCGTGAGCATCAAGCATAGGACAGCGCGAATGAGCGCCGGTGACTTGTCATGAGCACGTCAAGCACGAGCACGTCAAGCCTTCACAATTCAGACTTTGACTCGATTATGAAAACTCGACGCAAGAGACTTATTTCACAATTGCAAATAAGGGGAGCGCGCGACGGCGGACCGGCCTTGGCCCCTGAACGCGTCTCAGCGCAGCTATCGCGCAGCGCTTCACGCGCATGCTGCATGCTGCTGCAGGCGACCAATAGACGTGGCGGGCAAGACTCGAGAGTCGTCTGGTGCCTCGAACAAAGTGCAGCAGGGTGCTTCGCTTAATTGTGGTGCCCGTACAGACTCATATGATGATGACGGACAACTGCAGTCACGAGTGCTTGTGTCGACTTGATGGTCATCACCTTCAATCAGGTGGATGCAGTCTAGACTCCTCTTTACTAGTACACTACCGCCAATCCTTCAGCGCCGATTTGAAGACAACAAAATACGCGGAAGCTTCGACGTGCCCTGTCAGCGCGCCGGACGTCGGCGTAGACGTGATCGAGAGGAGTGTATCTATATAGGCGCACTCGATCTCCCAGACCTCTTTCTAGGCCCTTTGGACAATTCTATTGTCCCCCTTTCTTTTGGAGCGCCGAGACGAGAAGAAAGCAGGTCTGCTCTGCAGATTCGCGCACTCTTCAATCTCAGGACCCATCATGGAGCCGGCCAAGAACACCCCTCCTCCATCGGCTTCGGCAGGCGCTCGCAACCCATTCGCGTATCAACAGAAGCTGTTGGAGAGATCTGCTTCACGGAGCAGCAACTTCTCGCTAACGGGTGGTGGTGATGCTGGCAACGCACCGTCTGGGGCTACCGGCTCGGCTGGCTCCACTCCTAGCCGCACACCTGGCGCCTCGGGACTCTCACATTCGAGTTCCATCAGAAGGTATCCTGCGCCTCACAGACACACTGGCTCTCTAGATCCACACAGAACCGCCCATTTACTCAGTAGCGGTCATGCTGCTTCCTCTGCCTCAGTCTCGCCCTCGCACGACTCGGCGGCGTTTGGCTCAAATGGTAGTCTGAGTGCAAATGGCTCGACATCGTCCCAGGGTCAGTCTCCATCACCGGCAAGCTCGTCGACCTTCTCTACACCATCTTCGAGCCGCGCCAATCGACATATGTCAATGCCTCCTGCTCCGCGTGAAGACGTAAGCACTCCCACATTTGCGTCTAGACGGCCGCTTTCACCAACCAAAAGCAGCCCATTCGCTCGTGCGGTCAGCCCTACGAAGGACCGCCCCGTCTCTCCCACCAAGGGCTACCCCTCACCTGGCTCGCCGGGCAAAGCAGATTCTTCATGGATCAACAACAACAGCAGCCCTTCCACGCCATCAGGCTCGTTTTGGTCCCACGGAACAGGTACCAGCACCGCACCCTCTTCCCACGCGCCATCCGCCATTCATCTAGGTGGCGTCAGTGATCTCAAGCGAAGCAGTGTGGGAGCTTTGCAAATGATGCGAGGTTTCACGTCCAAGGCCGATGGGTCTAGTGCTGCATCTCTTGACCCGGCCCACACCAGAATGACAGTTGGGCGTAAAGGCGTCTCAGGAACCAAACCAGGCGCTGGTCTTGGTCTAGTTGAAGAGAATGCAGGCGCCAAAGAGGAGACGTTTACGAAACCTGAGCGGCCAGGTCGAATGGAAAGCGAGGACCAAGGAGAGGGTGAGATCATCCTGCCAGGTATCACGACCGGAGCTGAGGATGTTGCAGGTCTATCTGGAAGAATCCGTCTCGCCAGGGCAGGAGGTGCTGGTACTGCAGCGCTCGGTCGACCTGCACCAACGGGCAACCTCCCTTTTGCCAACGCTGGAAAGTGGATGGATACGCAGCGACACCTTCTGCAAGCCTATGAGTACCTGTGTCACTGCGGAGAAGCTAAGCAGTGGCTAGAGCACGCAGTCGGGGAAGAGCTAGGCGACATCGTAGACATGGAGAATGATATGCGCGACGGCATCTTCTTGGCCAAGCTGGCACGGACTTTCGAACCTGATTGCGTGCCACGTATCTTCACGCATCCAAAGCTGCAGTATCGTCATACCGACAACACCAACTACTTCTTCCGCTTTTGCCAGAAAGTGGAACTGCCCATCAGTTTCCAATTCGAACTGACGGACTTGTATGAGAAGAAGAATTTCCCCAAGGTCGTGTATTGCATCCATGCGCTTTCGTGAGTCGAAGCTTAGGTTCGAAACCATACCCGGGCCGATGTGACTAAAACGCTCCGACTCAACCCGCTGGCTACAGTCACATCTTGGCGCGTCAGGGTCGAGCACTGAAGGTGGGCAATTTGGTTGGCAACCTTCAATTCACAGACGATCAGTTGCAGCAAACGCAAAGAGGCCTCGATGCTGCAGGAGTGAGCATGCCCAAGTTCGGGGCGCTAGGAAAGACGCTGGCCAAAGAAATGAACATCGAGCCTGAACCGGAGCCAGAGACGGAGGAAGAACGTGAGTTTGAATAAGCTGTTCCAGAAACTGGCGGTCAGCGTCTCAATGTGGCCCGTCACCTTTGCAGGTATCGATCGGGAACTCGCCGAGAACTTGTCATCAGTCGTTGCGACTCAGAGCGCGGTGCGCAGTTTCTTAGCTCGGAAGCGATTCGACCGCCTCAGGGCGGAAGAGGCTGAGCGAAGGAGAAGAGAAGAAGAGCGTAGAAAGAAAGCCGAAGAGGCACGAAGGCTCGCTGAGGAGGCACGGATAGCTGAGGAACGTCGCGTAGAAGACGAGCGTCGCAAAGCTGAAGCAGCTCGCCTGGCCGAAGAGCGTCGGATAGCGGAAGAGCGCAGAATAGCTGAGGAGAAGCGGGAGGCGGAAGAGAAACGCATCGCCGAGGAGAAACGCAGAGCTGAAGAGCAGCGAATGCTCGCTGTTTGGGCTCCGAAAGTCCAAGCTCATGTGAGTGCAATGCTCCATCAGGGGAAATTTTTTTGCTCGTGCTGACCTGTGCTCGTGGAATGCACCTGCAGATCAGAGGCACTATGCTCCGAAGACGCTTTTATAGCGACGTCTCTGCTCTGGACCAGCATGAGCGGAGCGTGGTTGGTCTACAAGCGCAAGTGCGTGGCGTGTTAGCACGCCAGGCCTACCAGGACCAAATCTTCCGCCTAGGCGATGCCACGGAAGAGGTCATAAAGCTGCAAGCAGTCTGTAGAGCTGCACTTGCTCGAAGAGCGCTACTGGGCAAGATTCGTTCGCTGCGAGACGCTACTGGCGATATCGTCCGCATACAGGCACAGGTGCGCGGTGTCATCCTCAGACGGCAGCGTAAACAGATGAAAGCCGCTCTGCAAAAGGTGGAGGTACACCGCTCAGTCGGTGGCTTGCAATCCTTTGCTCGTGCAGCTCTTGCGCGAAGGAAGCATCAGGAGCAAGCCAAAGAGCTTGTCTTTGTTACACCAGATGTCGTGGGCATTCAAGCTCAGATTCGGGGCGTGCTCGCCAGGCTTGACTACCAGTGGTGGCGAAGTCACATTCTCTCAAGCGAGCCGGTTGCCGTGCATCTGCAGTCTCTAGTGCGAGGACTTCTCATGCGTCGCAACTTCAACGCCAAATTGCGGCACTATCACAACCATCTCGAAAAGGTCGTCAAGATTCAGAGTCTGTTCAGAGGCAAGCAACAAGGCGAGCAGTACCGCAGTCTCACTATGGGGAAGAACGTGCCTGTGGCGACGATCAAGAACTTTGGCCATCTCTTGAATGACTCAGACCAAGACTTTGAAGACGAAATTGAGGTCGAACGGCTACGGAAACAGGTCGTGCGAAACATTCGGGAGAATCGCACGCTCGAGAATGACGTCAGCGACCTGGACACAAAGATCGCATTACTTGTCAAGAACAAGATCGGTATCGAGGAGCTCATCAAAGCGAAGAATGAGCGCGGATTGCTCGGTCAGCGCGAGGCAGCTGCTACTCTGGCTCGACGCAATTCCGTCCTCGTCGCGGCAAACGATCCTTTTGCTGACCAGACCCTCAACAAGGAGGCAAGGCGGAAGCTCGAGCTGTACCAGGAATTGTTCTATTCCCTTCAGACGCGGCCGGAGTATCTAGCTCGGCTGTGCGCCCGCGTCGGCAAGATGGAGATACCTGATCGACAACGCAAGCAGGTGGAGAAGATTGTACTCACCCTCTTTGGCTACGCCCAGAAAGCCAGAGAAGAGTATCTTTTGCTCAAGCTGTTCCAACGCTGTGTGAGCGAGGAGTTGTCCCTGGTCAACAGCGTTCAGGAGTTCATGCGTGGCAACGCACAATTCATCAAGCTCGTCGTCCAGTACAACCGAGGTGCAAAGGAGAGGCAATACTTGCGAGCTCTGCTTGCGCCCCTTGTGCAAGGCATAGTTGAGGATGACGTTCTGGATTTGGAAACAGATCCTTGCGCGATCTACCGCGCTTGCATCAACGCAGAGGAAATGCGAAGCGGCCAAGCGAGTCGTAGGCCCCTCGAGGTCAACTTTCACGAGGCGTTGGCTGATCCAGAGGCACGGACAGCTTTCATCCAGCATCTGCAGTTCTTGCGTGGCACTACTGAGGCCTTCCTGGCTGCCATCGTCGGATCAACGAAGCGCATGCCTTTCGGCATCCGCTACATTGCGCGCGAGGTGTTCCGGGGCCTTCAGGCCAAGTTCCCCAACGAGGCCGAAGACGCTCTCATCAAAGTCGTTGGCCATCTTGTCTACTACCGCTATCTGAACCCTGCTATCGTGGCTCCCGAGGGTTTCGACGTCATCGAGACGCTCGTCGGCCCCGTGCAGCGCAAAAATCTCGCGGAAGTTTCGAAGATGCTCACCCAGGTCGCCGCCGGCAGGCTTTTCTCGGATGACAACCCTTACTTGCAGCCCTTGAATGAGTATGTCACTCAAGCGTCCAATCGCTTCGTCAAGTGGCTGTACCAGGTCGTTGACGTTGCCGATGCAGAGCTGCACTTTTCAGCCGACGAGTTCCTGGACCACACAATCCCGCAAAAACCAGTCATCTACATCTCACCCAACGAAATCTACTCCATGCACCTCCTGGTCTCGCAGCAAGTCGATCACCTTGCGCCTCACCCCAACGATCCCCTGCGCGCGGTGCTGGGGGAGCTAGGTCCACCGCCGATGTCCACGTCAGCTGAGCTCAACACTGCTCGTGATGGAGAGATTACCTTTGAGCTGACCTCCCGCAGCACCAACATCACGGACCCAGAAGCTGAGACGAAGGCACTCTTCGTCGAGACCAAGCGCCTCGTCCTTTCGCTGCTGAAAGTGCAGTCCGGAAAGACTCTTGTGGACGTCTTCGTCGCTCCCGTCACTGATGCCGATGAGATGGCATGGGAGGAATTGGTGTCACTCGAAGTCGCAGGTGATCGTCAGCGTTACCGCGGTCAGCGGCCGCCCGCCTCGATGGACGCTCTTCGCAGCCCACGCTTGGAGGACGTGCGTCGGCTGTCCTTTGCCGAATTGAAGGCGCGCACATTGGAGAACATGCTGCAGCTCGAACGTGCTGGCAAAGTTTCCAGGTCGAATGGTTACCAAGAGATGCTCTCTGCCTTGGCCATCGACATTCGCAACAAGCACAGAAAGCGCATTCAACGGCACAATGAGATCACCGCAATGCACGTGACGCTTCAGAACTTGGCGGAAAAGAAGAACTACTTGGAAGAGCAGATCGGCTCGTATGGGTCCTACATCGATGCAAGCATGCAGCAGATGCAAAAGAAGGGGTAAGTGCCCGTAACGTCGCTCGCTCGTGCGTCTCCACCACACGTGCACTCACACGCTTTGCTGGCTCTGTCACTTTGCAGCAAAAAGAAATTCGTTCTACCCTTCACGCAGCAGTACTTCCACATGCGAAGTCTCAAAGCTAGCGGCAAGGTACCCAAGTTCGGCTCGTACAAGTACACCGCTCAGCGGTTATTTGAGAAGGGCGTCCTCCTCTCTGTGGATCAGTTCAGCTCGAAACAGTATGATCAGATCAACCTGACCATCAGCTCGGATGAGCCGGGTCTTTTCACCGTAAGCGCTTCAGTCCTTGGCGTCGCTGGCGGCACGGAGGACCTGCGCATCGAAGATCTACTACAGGCGCAATTTTCTGGCGTCTCTGTCCTCACCCTGATGGACGGAATGGCAAAAGTGAAGTTGCCTTTGCTGATCAATCTGATCAATTCAAAGGTGAGTTTTGGTGCGCGTGCTGCTCGGCTTCGAACCACAAGCTGACCAAGAGCGACTCGACGCCATGATTCAGTTCTACGCCTAATCAGGCCATATTTCGTGGTGCTATAAGCGAGATGAAGCCTAAGGGCCCAATGACGATGCCACACCACGACCATGCATGGATCTACAATGTCTTCTGTTCTCCTCGAGTTCTGCTTCTTCCTCTGCCTCGGAACTCTTCGACTTTTCGAACAAGATTCTCCATTCGATGCGGACTTTTGCTTCCATGAACGGTTGCGATCCGGACACGTACTGCGCTCTCAGATTCTGCTTTTCAGTCCAATGTAACTCCCAAGTCGTGACTTTCGCGCGCCAAGAATCGATGCTGATTAGACTTCTGCCTCGCCCGAGTCCGCATTGTCTGCTGTTCTGTCGACCGTGAGCTGCTTTGACGAGCACTCGATTTTCAACGACCAAGAGAAAGGTACCTATCGCGCAAAATCACGAAATACAGACGTCCGAATTTCAACCGCTGTGAGGATGTAGAAACGTACGATACAGAGTCTATTGGGCATACACGAGATGTTGTATGGAGAAGAGAGACATTTGTAAGCGTTTCAAAGTGCGTGAAGATGGCAATGAACAACATTGACTAAGCTTTCGCTTGTTCATACAGGTCGCTTCGAGGAGGATGAGCCATGCTAGAGCGCGCACAGGCAGGATTCGAATCCGCAGCGTCTAGAGCAAAAGTCCTGCTCCACCAGCTTCTTTTGGCCTCCTTGGACTTGCTGGCAGGGGCTCTTCGAGAGATATCGGTGGGATCCATACCTGCC